ACACTAGATGAACAATTGATAAAAGCTTAGTTAGTAGTATATGTATCTGGTGTCAAAACCTAAAAAACGAGCTCAAAATCATTTTGAGCATTTCAAGTTTGTTACTTGTTTCGAGTCCTTTGTGGCTTATTAGTTTATTCTATTTACAGAAGTGCAGTGAATACCGAAACATCTTGCCCTACTCACTTGGAAACAAAATCGATTTTACTATCATGGATACGGCAGACCCAATGCCAGAAGGTTTAAGCAATGACCAGATAAAAACATGGTCAAAGCAAGTTTTGGAGGATGGTTTAGATGAAATCTTACAACCTGTTTACGATGATGATGAAAACCGTAAGAGAATCATTCACGAAATAATTAGAATGGAAAAAGCACCAGATGATCCTCAAATTGATGAGCCAACAAAAGAACGCATCAATGATTTTATTGCTCACACTATTAGAAAGGCTAAAGAAGACTTCAGTGCAGCCTTGTCCGCCTTAAAATCGCATGRATCACATGCATACTTTACAATTACCATCAACATGAATGGCACCAATGTCAGAGGTGTCCAACAGCACCGCCGAGATCTGATTAAGATCATCCTTGGTAATCTTTTTGGAGTAGTGTTCTGTCAAGAATTGCCTGGGTGTTTTGAAAAAATGATTAAGGATTTGACGACTGAAAACAAGTGGGACTTTGTGAAAGTAGAAAAAGAAGCAGCCGTGATATGGGACACAACGAAATTCAATGGCACCAAGCCAACAGAACGAAGTATGATGAAGATCAGAGATGAGTTATCAAAAAAGGATACACTAGCAAGCAACCTTCTCTCTCGAGCTGCATTTGTGAAGTTAACGATAGTTGAAGACAATAYCAGCTTCATTGCAGTATCATATCATGGCGAAAAGAATAAGATTGAGGAAGAAGTTAGATATCAGATATTCGATTGTCTAATTGAATTTGTACAGCAACTGAGCCAAGAAGAAGGAGGTCTTCCTTTCCTTATTGGAGGCGATTTCAATTTTGACACGGTCACTGAGAATTCTATTCTAGATAACATCAGTAACATCACTTTTCCCCGTTATGACATGACAGATCGTGCCAACAAAAGCCAAAAAATTCCCTACAAAGATAACTTTTGTTGGCACCATAAAATGGCAATCAAAGTGTCTAATATAAGGCCATTTGTTTTTGGTGGTGGAGAAAATCATGACTTAAGTAGAGACGAGAGTTTTGAGGTAGAGAATCATCCTGATGCAGGCCAACACACAGCTAAAGTGGATGATCTGCTTGACCATGACCCAATTTTTGGAATACTGACGATGCCTGAAGAAGAAGAAGAACTAACCCAAAACTTCCAGGCATTATCTATCTCAACGCCAAAGAAATAATTGAACAGAAAAATCACAATAGTATAGTTTATTCCTTGGAAACTTGTCATACGATGCCGAGTCTTTGAAATCATTCTATTAACACAGCAATTCAAGTCAACTGCAACCTTTAGAATTATTTTCAAAAACCTACATCCAAAGAGTTTGCTTTCATGAATAAAAACACTTAGTGTTGTGGTTAATTCAATGGGCTGATTCCACTTAGACTACTCTAATGTCAGAGTTTTATGCAAAGAGATACAAGAAGATCAAAAGTATTTGGATTCGCAGTATTCGATAATTTGGACTACCGTATGTATTCCAATGATGCGGAATCACGAAACGCTGCACTTGAGCTGATGAGTGAATCTTCTTCTCTATTAGATTAAAGTTTTAATTACTAAAAATGTAAAATATACAACTGAATATAAATATAATAGTTTCCTATACCATCATTTTTAATTTAGAATGTGACTTCATTAWTGTAATTATAAAATTAATATTAAAATTGTACCACGGTATTACTAACTATTTACACGACATCTGTGGATTTTTCCATTTCAATTTGTTTTAATTGCATAACATGTTTTTAGAGATATTTTTGTAGATACAATTTATAGTTTTGCGAAACGCTTTAAAAAAATAAATAAGTAAATAAAATTATCGTTTCTTTTCTAATTGATGCCTGAAGATCATAGTACAATGCTTGACCTCCACGGCTTGGATAAATGRTGTCCCATTTCATTYTCATTACCCCTAGCAAGGATTAACACCCGAAGCCTCGTTAAGTTGTAAGAAATTTCTTTCAAAGCAAGTAAAACTTTGCATTTACGAGAGTTTTTCATCGTGTTTAAAATTGCTCATGACTTCAATAATTCAATTGTCTTGTTTTCTGGTTGACT